ATGTATGATCGTCTCCACGATTCGTGTAGAGGTGTATTGCAGACTTTGCATGATAACACAAGTAAACTTGTTAAACCTCCACGTCATAGCATTGTTCTTCGTACTCTCTCGATATCAAAAACCGCCAAGCTTTGAGTTGGCAAAACCCCGCCTCTATACGAATCGTGGAGTCAATGATATATACCTACTAGCGACCCGTAGGGTCGCTAGCAAGTGAGTCGGGGCAGATACAATATAAGGGCTTAGTTGTGACTATATTTCTAAATGAGTTTCCCATTCCTTTCCTAAGAACATCTTTGCGAGAAGTAATCTACAAAAGGAGCACTGCTCGAAGAAGTGATAATCTCCATAAATCATTCAGCATTTCTCGAGACTCCTGCCACAACTATGCATGGAGAATATTATTCTCTTGTTCACCACGTTATCTTCAATTTCCCCTCCACAGAAACATTCAGATGAAAAAAACCCCCCACTTTTCCACCCTCTCAAAGAGAATTTGCTCTTTCAGTTCTTCTCAACAAGTTCCATAAAAGATCGCTAAGTAAGTAGCAAAACGGCTATCGTTTTGGAAGTAAAAAAAACCCATAACAATTACATGTACTACAAAAAACACTTTTCTCTCAGAATCAATTCCGACAGCAACGAAATCAATCGTCCAAGAACTTTGTCAGAGAATCCTTCAATTTTTTCGCCAAAGGAAAATGAAGCTTCACTACAAAAAGAGATCCCTCCCCGAAAAGCACGACTACTGATCCACCTAAAGATCGTCAATCATAAGAACTGCACAAACGTACAAGTTTATCTGTCCGATCACATTGCCCTCCGTGCCGCTTACAGACCAATATAAGTATTCAAAGAGACAAATTATACCCTGCGTGCCGCTTGAAGACCGAAAACCAACTACGATTCAAACAAAAAGAAAACAACGAATTCAAGTACTTGCAGCGTATTTTCAAATTGCCGTGCATGTCACTTCAGGACTTTCAATTCTGAGAAATGCCCCAAACGCACAAAACTCTGTTTCCCTGCCCGATCGGGTTGCCCTACGTGCCGCTTACAGCCGATAGTAACCATTCACTAAGGAAATTTATGCCCTATGTGCCGCTTGAAGACCATTTAAAAATTATAGGAACTCCTCCAAACGTACAAAAATCTATTTCCCTTCCGATCGAGTAGCCCTACGTGCCGCTTACAGACCGATATAACTATTCAAAGAGACAATTTATGCCCTATGTGCCGCTTGAAGACCGTTTAAAAATTATAGGAACTCCCCCAAACGTACAAAAATCTATTTCCCTGTCCAATCGAGTAGCCCTACGTGCCGCTTACAGACCGATATAACCATTCAAAGAGACAATTTATGCCCTTTGCGCCGCTTGAAGACCGTTTAAAAATTATAGGAACTCCCTCAAACGTACAAAAATCTATTTCCCTTCCGATCGAGTAGCCCTACGTGCCGCTTACAGACCGATATAACTATTCAAAGAGACAATTTATGCCCTATATGCCGCTTGAAGACCGTTTAAAAATTATAGCAACTCCCCAAACGTACAAAAATCTATTTCCCTTCCGATCGAGTAGCCCTACGTGCCGCTTACAGACCGATATAACTATTCAAAGAGACAATTTATGCCCTATGTGCCGCTTGAAGACCGTTTAAAAATTATAGGAACTCTCCCAAACGTACA